GAGGAGAGAGACAACATGCACCAGGAACATCTAAGGGGAACATCTATCTGAAGGAACACCTGTGCAGCCCCCGAGAGAGCCGGCCGGCGGTGTGCTGCTCCCCTGCGGAAGTGGGGAAAGTGGCTAGGGGGAACTGCCCTTCCACGGAGGTGGAAGGGACGGTAGCCAACCCGGGAAGAACCAGCAGCAAACCCGGGGAGGGCCGAGCAGACGAAAGAACAACGCAGGGTCCTGTGACGTTCCTCCACGAAGACAGGGAGCGACACTGGCCTAACTCAAGGGGATCTCTAACTCAAGGGGAGAGCTCGCAAGTATGTTGTTAGCCATAGATTTTTTTTCTTTTTATAGGTAATCATCAAATTGAGGAAGCGTCCCTCTGTTTCCAGTTGGCTGAGTTTTTGGTTGGTTTTTTTTTTTTTTTTTTTTTTTTTTGACAGGCAGAGTGGACAGTGAGAGAGAGAGACAGAGAGAGAAAGGTCTTCCTTTGCCGTTGGATCACCCTCCAATGGCCGCCGCTGCAGCCGGCGCACCACGCTGATCCGATGGCAGGAGCCAGGATCCAGGTGCTTTTCCTGGTCTCCCATGGGGTGCAGGGCCCAAGCACCTGGGCCATCCTCCACTGCACTCCCGGGCCACAGCAGAGAGCTGGCCTGGAAGAGGGGCAACCGGGACAGAATCCGGCGCCCCAACCGGGACTAGAACCCGGTGTGCCGGCGCCGCAAGGTGGAGGATTAGCCTATTGAGCCACGGCGATTTTTGGTTGGTTTTTAAAAGTGTTTTTAAATTTATTTCCTGTTCAAGAGCAGGGAGGCAGGCAGACAGGAGTCCCACTCGTTGCTTCACTCCCTAGAGGACTGGGCCAGGGGCTTGAGCCCAACCCAGGTCTCCCACGTGGGTGGCGGGGACCCAACCACTTGAGCCGTCATTGCTGCCTCCGTTTCTGAATTGGCAAGGAGCCGGAATGAGGGGCTGGCCCTGGGGACTGAACCCAGGCATCCAGTATGGACTGCATGTTCTTTGACTTGATATTTCAAAGTGTAGTATTTAGTTTTCAAATATCTATCTGAAAATCTATTTTTTAAGTCAATGGTAAAAAAACAAACAGTCTAATTTAAAAATGGGCACAAGATTTTAACAGATTTTCCATCCAAGAAAGAACACGGCTGTAGACGTTCAGGCTGGTGGTGAAGGTGCCGTTTGGGACGCCTCTGTCAGGTGCCCCAGTGCGGTTCCTGGCTGAGCTCCCTGCTAACCTGCAGCCTGGGACAGCAGGTGATGGCTGCAACAGCTGGGTCCCTGCCTCTCACACGCGGGACTGGACTCAGTTCCCAGCTCTTGGCTTCAGCCTGGCCCAGCCCTGGCCATTGCAGAACTTGTGCACTGAATGAGGGGATGGGAAATTTCCGTGTCTCTCCCTGTCAAATAAATGCATTTTCCAAGAGATATGTGTATAGCAAATATTTACATAAGAATAAGTTCAACAGCATTAATCACTAGAGCAATAAAAATTAAAACCACAAAAAGATACTACTATACATCTATTAGAATGGTTAAAATTAAAAAGGACTGACCATGCCAAAAGCTAGCAAGGGAGCAGAAGAACCACAAGTCTGATACCCCCTGTGGTAATGTAAAACCACACCATCTCTGGGAACGTGGGTCTCCTAACTGGCATCTTAACCACTAAGCCAGACACACCTATTAAGTGCGTCTTTTAAAAAAGATTTGTTTTATTTGAAAGCCAGAGTTACAGAGACAGAGGGAGAGACAGGGAGAGATCTCTTCCTTCCATCCACTGGTTTGCTCCCCACATGACCACAATGGCTGGGCTAGGCCAGGTCAAGGTCAGGAGCTTGAACTCCATCCAGGTCTCCCACACAGGTGGCAGGGGCGGAGGACTCAGGCCATTTCCTGCTGCTTTCCCAGGCGCGTGAGCAGGAAGCCAGATCGGAAGTGGAGCGGCCGGGACTTGAAACAGCGCTCACAGGCGACGCTCGCGCTGCAGGCAGTCGCTTAGCCCACGGCACCAACCGCTGGCCCCGGAATGCGTTTTTGACTTAGGGTGTTTTCTTCTCTTTTTGAAATTAATTAATTTATTTGAAAATCAGAGTTAGAGAGAGAGAGCAAGCTCCTATCCTCTGGTTTACTCCCCAGATGGCTACAAAGAACAGGACTGGGCCAGGTCAAAGTCAGGAGCCAGGAGCTTCATCTGGGTCTCCCAAGGGGTGGCAGGGCCCAAACACTTGAACCATCTTCTGCTGCTTTCCCCGGCCATTAGCAGGGAGCTGGATCGGAAGTGGAGCAGCTGAGACTTGAACTGGCACCCACATGGGATGCTGGCACTGCAGGCGGCAGCTTTACTTGCTATGTCCCAACACCAGCTCCGACTTAGGATATTTTCAACTTAAGATGCGTTTATGAGGACAGCAGCCTTGTCATAAGCCTAGGAGTGGCTCCATTTCTATACCACGGACTACCACTCAGAAATGCAAAGGAAAGAACTTTTGATATACACACAACAGGAATGATCTGAAAGCAATTACGTGGGCTGAAAGAAGTCAGGCAAAAAGGAATACAGCTGTTCCTCAGTAGCCACGGCAGACGGGTGCCAGCAGACTCCCCGGGGATACCTGTGGGTGCTCAAGTCCCTTACATAAATGGCGGAGTATTTGCATACAACCTCTGCAGATCCTCCCACACAATTTAAATAATCTCCAGACTACTTACAATACCCACGGCACAGTGCTATGTAAACAGTTGCTAAACAAGAACAAAAACGTGCACGTTCAGTACAGCAACTGAAAACCTGTTTCTGATGTGTGGCTGATTGAGCCCGTGGATGTGAACCCCTGGTACAGCAGGCCGGCTGACTGCGTTAGCGTGCGGGGCAGCAAGCAGACTGCTGTCTGCTTGGCGTGAGGCAGGGATGGGAGGGATGAGTGGATTTCAGAGACACACGAGGAAGCTTTGGTGGGACACGCATATGTCCACTATCCTGATTGTGACGTGGGTTTTATGAGTGTCCACAGATTGCGAAACTTACCCAATTACACACTTGGAATTTGCATCTCAACTGAATCTCAATGAAGTTGTTCAGAATGCCAGGGCTTACACATACACAACAATGTGGCAGAGGCGACAAGGACAGCACACGCCAGGCCCTGGGTGGTGGCTGTAAGCTGCCGAGGTCAGCGCCTGTTACAGGAGGGCTCAACAGCCTGGGGGGATGAACAGCCGGTCCACCAGGGAGACAGCAGGTGGGGCGGGCAGAGGCCGAGGCTGCTCCTTCCCTGTCACGACTCTGTCGTCATTCTCACGGTGATCTGGTCTTCACACACAAAAATATACACAGTTCTCTGACAAAGTAATACAGACGATTTCTCTAAAATAAGATTCTTTGGCTGCTATGGTTTTATGTCAGTTGCCAAGGTAAGAATGTGTTCTTGGGGCCAGCACTGTGGCACAGCAGTTAAGTGCACCATGCAACACCGACGTCCTAAGTGGGCACCGGTTTGCGTCCTGGCTGCTCCACTTCCAATCCAGCTCCTGGAAAAGCAGTGGAAGACGGCCCGGGTGTTGGGCCCCTGCTCCCACGTGGAAGCCCAGATGAAGCTCCCGGCTCCTGGCTTCAGCCTGGCTCAGCCCTGGGAACTTGGGAAGTGCGGCCACTTGGGAAGTGAACCAGAGGATGGACGATCTCTCTTCTCCATTTCTCCCTCTCTGTGTAACTCAGACTTTCAGATAAATAAATTTAAAAAAAAAATGAATGTGTGTCTTTGCTATCCCTTATTGACAATTCACAGCTTTAGATTCTTTAATGTAACCACCAAACGATGCAAGCTCCTCATTCTAATTTATCTGAGGACATACCGCTGTGGCAGCTTCCAGTTAAGGTAGAATCAGCCCAGGCTACTGCTTTACGACGCTTAAGCAGCAGAAAACGGCGTGATGATCTTGATTTAAAAACAAATCCACGTTTGTTCCGTACCTTTTTTTAAAATAATTATTTATTTATCTGAAAGACAGAGCTACAGAAAGAGAGGGAAAGAGAGAGAGAGAAATCTTCCTTCTGCTGGTTCATTCCCCAAACGGCTGCGTCGACCACCAGGCCCATTAGCAGGGAGCTGGGTGGGAAGTGGAGCAGCCGGGATTGAACCAATGCCCCGATGTGGGATGCCGGCGCAGCAGGCTGCGGCTTAACCCTGTGTGCCACAGCGCCAGCCCGACCCGTGAAAGATGCTCTGAGCCCATTTGTTCTAGCAATGCTACAGCACATGTTCCCATCACCGATTCTACGGTCTGCATTCTCTATATTCCACACATGCTATGGTCTGCGACTGATGCACACCGTGGTAACACTGCAGCCTGCAAGAACACAAAGTCTGTTGCAAGGAGTAGCTCCTCCGTTAGCCAGTCTCTGACGTGAGACGGAGGCCTGGCGGACAAGGCCCTGACAGCTCCAAACCCTGTCTCCTGACCCAGAAAGCCTCTTCAAGTGCAGGACCTTAGTTCGGTAACATTTCCAATAAACAATGACTACCCATGAGAAGTGGGCATGGGTCTGGCTGGACAGGCCATATTGCTAACTTTAATAAAATCAGTGCAATACTCACACCTCATTATGAGCAAGCCCAATTCCAGCCCGCGCTAAGAAGATTTGTTAGTCACTGACTCTGCTGTTTAGCACAGTTCCTGTTAGGAAGCAGCGGCCAGGAGACCGGGAGGGCCGCACCGTGAAGCGGGAACGGAGGAGATGAACAAGTGCATCGCGTGCAGCGTCTCACGCGGTGCCAGGACACACGGGCGCTACCAGCGCTGCCCCGCAGAAGAGGGCCCCGACCCTCAGCCGCAGGAAGTAACGCATCCCCTCTCCTGCAACAGCGGGACTCGGCTTCCGACCGGGCCTGCTGCGCCCAGGTCACGGCTCCCGCATTGCTGCGTGCAGCCCCGCGGAGAGACCTGGCCGCAGACAGGCGTGTGCTGTGCACGGGCCGACTGACTTCGAGGACGAGTCCCCGACCCCGACGCAGCCGCGCAGGCTGAGCTTCCTCGGGAACCCGCCGCACCGCTTCGAGATGCTCTCCACCACGCGGCCCTTGAATCGACAGGCGGAGAAAGTCAATGTTCATGCTGCTTCCCTAACAGCCAAACAGCGTGACACCTGGGAACCAGGCCCACGTCTCCAGCGTAACACAAGACAGTGTGCAACGTCCCTCCAGGGCCTCAGCCTTATCCCTGTGCATAAGGGGGCTGCAAGCAAGGAAACGGCTTTAATTCAAGCATTAAGTGCGTTTGAAAACACAACAAAGCCCTGCACTGCCTCCTGAACACGCCTGCCCTGGGATCAGTCCTCGCCTGCTTGGCACTCACACCTGTCCCCTATCCATAAGGCTCTTTGAGGAGCTGGGAGAACACTGGCTCCCTAAAGCAGAGCTCTAAAGCAACACTGATTAAAAAAGGAAGTCCTGGGGTCGGATGTTCGGCACAGGAGTTAGGTCGCTACTTGGGACATCGGCATCCCGCATCCGAGCGCATCCGGGTCCCGGCTCTGCCTCCGATCCCAGCGTTCTGCTAACGCGCACTGGGGGCAGCAGATGATGGCTCAAGCACTTGAGTCCTCGTCACCCACATGGGAGACCGGGGTGGAGCCATAGACTCCCGGCTTCACCCTGGCCGGCCCTGGCTCTTTCAAGCATTGAGGGAGTGAACCAGTGGATCAGATCTCTCTCAGAATAAAAAAATAAATACTTTTTAATTTTTTTTTAAAAAGGAAATCCTACTCCAGCTAAGCATTACTACTATTCTAAGGGTATGAAAATGTATTGGGGCCACTGTGGCGAAGTGGGTAAGGCCGCCGCCTGCAGTGCCAGCATCCCATATGGGCACCAGTTCAAGACCCGGCTGCTCCACTTCTGATCCAGCTCTCGGCTGTGGCCTGGAAAGCAGTAGAAGATGCCCAAGTCCTTGGGCCCCTGCACCCACGTGGGAGACCTGGAAGAAGCTCCTGGCTCCTGACTTCGGATCGGCACCGCTCTGGTTGTTGTGGCCATTTGGGGAGTGAACCAGCGGACAGAAGACCTCTCTCTCTCTCTCCCTCTCCCTCTCTCTGTGTAACTCTTTCAAGTAAAATAAATTTTTTAAAATGTATTGTAAATGCTTCCTCTCACCCCCCTCAGTGCTCCCGAGGGCTGTGTAGCACTAGGAACTCACTCCTTCTACCTAACTCTGACTTGGCACCTTGCTTCACAAAACAGCAATCGTAAGATTTACTTATTTATTTGAAAGGCAGAGTTACAGAGAGCGACACAGAGCTCTTCTACCTGTTGGCTCACTCCCCAAATGGCTACAATGGCAGGGCTGGGCCAGGCTGAAACCAGGATCCTGGAACACTATCCAGGTCTCCACATGGGTGACAGGGTACTAAGCACTCAGGCCATCTTCCGCTGCGTTCCCAGGTGCATTAGCAGGGAGCTGGATCGGAAGTGGAGCAGCCGGGACTTGAACCGGTGCTCATGTAGGATGTGGTCATGGTGGGCAGAGGCTTTACCCGCTGCAACTCAACAGCAGACCCAAACGGCAATCCTGACACTCAGCTGCAAGTACCATGCTCACTAGGGACCCAAACCACAGGAGCTGAGTGCAGGACTCTGAGTGCACACTGCTACCTGGCCAACATCCCCGTTACACTGAGAATCCACACCCTGTGCAGGGAGCACTTATTTATACTTTCTTGAGCACTGCCCAAGTTAACCATTATTTTGCAAAGCAAAATTCCCAGGGGGAAAAAGATTATGACTTAGAAATCCAACATGAATATTTAAGTACTTTAATAAACAAAGAAAGAAACTCCAGATTAAGGCCTACAAATGGTGTACCCAATATAGTTTCCCCATTTCAAGTTGGTAATATTAACAAACTTTATATTCCTCCTTTCTTTGGAGTAAACATTCTTGAACAGAAAATTTTCAAATTTGCATGTTTGGTTGTTGTTTCTTGGTTTCCAACTAAGGGTGAAAAAACAGAATCCTTTCTAAATACAGTATCGAAGCTAGTAACTCCCGTTTGTACCAGACAGCACACTGCAGATGCGTATTTTAAAACAGAGAGTTTAGAGAACTATAAGGCCTAACATAGGTTTAAAAAACCCTTGGAGGCCGGTGCCATGGCTCACTAGGCTAATCCTCCGCCTTGCGGCGCCGGCACACCAGGTTCTAGTCCCGGTCGGGGTGCCGGATTCTGTCTCAGTTGCTCCTCTTCCAGGCCAGCTCTCTGCTGTGGCCCAGGAGTGCAGTGGAGGATGGCCCAAGTACTTGGGCCCTGCACCCCATGGGAGACCAGGAGAAGCACCTGGCTCCTGCCTTCGGATCAGCGCAGTGTGCTGGCCGCAGCGGCCATTGGCCATTGGAGGGTGAACCAACAGCAAAGGAAGACCTTTCTCTCTGTCTCTCTCTCACTGTCCACTCCGCCTGTCAAAAAAAAAAACAAAAAACAAAAAACAAAAAACAAAAAACAACCTTGGAAACTTCGGCTGTTCAGATCTGGTTATTTCTCATTTCTCTTCAATAACCAAGACGACACTGGTTACAGATGTCCAGCTTTTAAGGGTACAGGAGACGGCCCAGCCTCGGGGACGCCAGTGCAGGTCTCACGTCGGCTCCGCGCCGACCTCCTGTCGCGGGTAGCCCAGCGCTCCGCCGCCCAGGTGCCTCCACTCCCCTCTGAGCAGACGAGCGGCCCTGGAGACGCTGCTCGTGTTTTGTGTGCCTCAGTTTCTCCAACACAGTGTAGAGAGGGCTGGATGTAGGATGAGACGTGAGGTGTTAAGAATGTACGCAGAGTGCGTAGCACAGTGCCCGGCGCTTGGTAAAGGCCATGCGTACGCTCATCCTGCTCCGGGACGGCGTCCCTCTGCTCAGCGTATCTGTAAATCGCCACTGCCTTCCCATTTACACATGGACTGCTCCCGCAGGTGGGAAACCACACAGTGCAGTCTCAAGACGATAGGAGACCCGGACGGAGTTCCGGCCTCGTGGCTTGGGCCTGGCCCAGTCCTGGCTGCTGTGGCCATTTGGGGAGTGAACCAGCAGACAGAACCTTTCTGTCTTTCAAATAAAGCAAAAGCCATCTTTTTTGAATCTAAAGACTGGCAACCTGTGTTCAAGGTGCTGGCTCAAGGGAAAACTCAATGAGGGAGACCGGGTTGAAACCCCAGCACCGGTTATTTTAGGTTCTCACATGTAGTTCTTTGTGTAACTGGCAAACCACAAGCTGGCCTCCCCGTAGTACTTCTGAGATGTGTGTATGCAGCAGTGCGCTGCCCCCCGGCAGGCAGCTAAAATTCTGAAATGATGTAATGTACAGGCAGTGATAGCTCCTTAAAGCAGTTGTATTTAACAACTGAAGCAAAACATTCTTAGTTTGGGAAAATCTTCACAACTGAGGCATTAAGAACCATATAAAAATAAAGTATTTTAACAAGTTTATTCAAAACAATGGTTTTCGGGGCTGGCCCTGTGGCTTAGCAGGTACAGATGCCTCCTGCAAAGCCTGCATCCCATAAGGGCGCCAGTTCAAGTCCTGGCTGCTCCACTTCCCATCCAGCTCTCTGCTGTGGCCTGGGAAAGCAGTAGAAGATGGCCCAAGTCCTTGGGCCCCTGCACCCACGTGGGAGACCCAGAAGAAGCTCCTGGCTCCTGGCTTCAGAACAGTGCAGCTCTGGTGGTTGCTGCCATTTGGGGAGTGAACCAGCAGATGAAAGATTCCCTCTCTCCCTCTCCCTCTCCCTCCCCCTCCCCCTCCCCCTCCCCCTCTCCCTGCCTCTGGTTTTTAGAATTTAAGGTTCCCTTCAACATAAGTACACACAGTGAACAAACACTTGGAGATGATCAATCAGAAGAGGAATTACGTGGCTTACAGCATGTTGGCATGTTTGGGTGGGACACGGTTGCAACCATTGCTATTAAGTCTGGGAAGAGCATTAAAGAACACCCAGTCAGGGACCAGAGTCTCGGTCAGGACTACGGCCTCTCCCCTCAGGATGACCCCGAGGCCCCTGCCCCTTCCAGGCTCAGAGCACAACATGAGAACGAGGGGCTCCCCGCCATAACTGGGAAATCCTGGGCTCAGCCCACTTCTGCAGCTCTGCCACGCTGGCTGGAGATGGGAACCAGAGACCCTCAGGCAGGAAGTGGCCCAGGAAGAGGGAGAGGGCCCCCCCATCTGGCCACTGGTTCCTCTGGTGACACCGCAGCAGGAAACCAGCGGGAAACTGCTCGGACCCACCTCACTCTAATACCTTCATTTTCTCACTCATTACACACACACACACACACACACACACACAACATAGACCTTGGTAACAATCACTTGGCAAATATATTACATGAGTAAGTTTTTTTTTTTTTTTAAAAGATTTATTTATTTGAGAGGTAGAGTTACAGTGAAAGGAAGAGACAGAGAGAGGTATCTTCCGTCCGCTGATTCACTCCTCAAATGGCCACAACGGCCAGATCTGTGCTGATCTGGAGCCAGGAGCCAGGAGCTTCTTCAGGTCTCCCACGTGGGTGCAGGGGCCCAAGGACTTGGGCCATCCTCTACTGCTTTCCCAGGCCACAGCAGAGAGCTGGATTGGAAGAGGAGCAGCCGGGACTAGAACCGGCGCCCATATGGGATGCTGGCGCCACAGGCGGAGGATTAACCTACTGTACCATGGCGCCAGCCCCATGAGTAAGTGTTAAAATGCAATTTCACACCATAACTGAGTTGGCTACACTGGAAGTGAATAAGCTTTGATCACCACTGCGCAGATAATAAACTCTGGGATCTCAAGCACCTCAAACGAGTCCTCTAGACAATGGCCGTGTTTCTTATTACTCCTCTGTTGGTGAGAGATTTCGTATTTCACAGTCAAGTTTTAACACTTTCCTCACTCGGTCATGCTGACTCCTCCTCAGCGAAAATAGTGACCTGTGTCCCGATAAATTCGGAAACGCACCAGGCCTCAAAGACGGCCGCGCCTCTGACTTCCTGGACACCACGACAGAGGCACAGGAAGCTTCTGGGCCGTCGGGCCACTCAGATCACCTCCTCCTGTCCGGGACAGCGACTCTGTGCTTTCTGCTCTCTGAGGCCCCATTCAGAGTAACAGCTGTCAAGTCTCCTGAGGCTGAAGCACTGGGCACGGGGTTACGAGGCAGAGCTGACGCTTTATGTTTTGTTTCCTCCTCGCTTTACCCCAAATCTTACACCATGTCCACCTGTGTCGGGGCAGGGAAGGAATTCTGCAGAGCAGAGAGAGAGAGAGAGAGAGAGAGAGAGGGAGGGAGAGAGAGGGAGAGAGAGGGAGAGGGAGGGAGAGAGCGAGCGAGAGAGCGAGCGAGCTAGATTTACTGGATGTGCTGTGAGAAAGCAGCGGGCCAGCAGGACAGCCAAGAGCCCCTCCCACTGCAGCCTGGCTGTGAGCGGCCATCAGGTGGCTGCCCCTTCTTAGGGTGGCTGATGACGCTGTGTGCTTGCACGGGAGTGGCGGGCAGCACTGCCAGAGGCTTTGAACAATGGAGTGGCAGGGCCCACGCTGTGGTTTAGGGGCAAGGCCGCATCTCACATGGGCACCAGTTCAAGTCCCAGCTGCTCCACTTCTGATCCGGCTCCCTGATAATGACCTGGGAAAGCAGTGGGAGATGGCCCAAGTCCTCCAGCCCCTGCACCCACATGAGAGACCCACATGAAGCTCCTAGCTCCTGGCTTCAGCCTGGCCCAGTCTTGGCCAATGCAGCCATGTGGGGGTGAACCAGCGGATGGAAGATATCTATCTGTGTGTGTGTGTATGTGTCTGTGTGTGTGTGCACGCATGGACGCGTAGCGTCTCCCTCTAACTCTGCCTTCAAATAAATGCATAAATCTTTAAAAAAAAATGGAGTGACACAACTCAGTTCAGAAACATGACCCAGGGGGAACGTTGTCTAAAACTGACACAAGGCAAAAGAAACATGCAAGCAGAAATTTGGTCTTGATAAACCCCAGTACCTCCCAGGTTTTCCTCCCTCTTTTACACACCTGCACTTTACTATTCAATCTAAATGCAGCTGAAACAAGGCAGGAAAGAAGCAAACACCTGCTCATCCTCTAGAGAGTGTGCTGCATAGACCAAGGCCAACAGTCTTACCTCCACATCTGTCTGAAAGTTAAAAAGGTCTATTCTTTGCCAGTTGCTTCCATCCAGGGCTAAGATGTTCCAAGCCTGGGGGGGGGGGGGAGGTGAGACACGAGTTGAGGTCAAGGAGATATTTACTGACAGCATCAAGAGTCTTGGCTCAACTTTTGTCCCTCTAAACTCTCATTCTTGATGTATATTAAAGTTTTTCATCAAATTCAGAATTATGATAACATTGTTAGACATGAAAGATGAGATTTTAATTTGCAATGACTATTTAAACTAAAACTCAGACCCATTCTAATAGCATTTGGTATTTATTGAAAATCTACAGAATACTCTACCTTGGAAATCTGTGCACATCGGCACAGAGTGACTATATCCAAGAAGGAAAATATTCTAGGAAGAAAAGGGAAAAACACAAAAAATGAGCTGGTGTTAAACATTTAGGATACTTGTAATTCAAAAGGTAAAACCTAAAGCGCCATCTGGGTGTTTGTCTTTTCAAGATTCCTCAATGTGCAACACACAAGTGCACATGATTTTAGATCACTACTGTGAAATAGTAAACGTTTCCATGTCCAGAGCCGTTCTGATCAGACACTTTACAAATTCTCTTAAAATAGAACTCATTACAATTGTGTTGCCTTTGCTCTAAGACACGGACATGGGAAAGCAGATCACCCCAGCTCCATTCTCAGGCACGGAGCCTGGGGCTGGCTGGACCCTTCTCACGCTCCTACTGTGCTGCACAAATACTTCCGGTGGTGGACGGCCCAAACAGGTCAGAGGCTTGAGCCACAGGTAACGTGGCTCCAAAAAGCACGGTGATGAAACCTATGTATTTGTTCACTTGGTAGAGGATGGCACTCATAATTTAGCAGGTCTGTAAGCACTCAGTTTTTCCTAAAAAGCCAAGAAAATTTTCCAAGCCAACATTCCAAAGAAAATCCAGGTAAGATTATTCCTAAGTTCAAATCAAGGGGCCAACGCTGTGGCACAGCGGGTAAAGCTGCCGCCTGCAGTGCCGGCATCCCATATAGGTACCAGTTCGAGTCCCCTGCTCCACTTCCAATCCAGCCCTTTGCTATGGTCTGGGAAAGCAGTAGAAGATGGCCCAAGTCCTTGGGCCCCTGCACCTGCATAGGAGACACAGAGGAAGCTGCTGGCTCCTGCCTTCAGAATGGCACAGCTCCGGCCATTGTGGCCAACTGGGGAGTGAACCAGTGGATGGAAGACCTCTCTCTCTCTCCTTAACTCTGACTTTCAAATATATAAATCTTTAAAAAAAAAAAAAAAAAGATCAAATCCAGGGAGAGATTCCAAGATGGCAGATTAGGGAGCAACGTGTGTCACTAATGACAGTGAGAAGTGTAGGGTGTGCACACTCAGGGGAGAACTGGAGAGAAAAGTACACTGCAAGTCCTATGGGGGGAGGAGGAACACCGTGGGCCCGTGTGGATGGTGCAGACATGCAGGACCAGCACAGCTGCAGGGGCCGAGAGCCAGAGTGGGCAGCAGTTTGGAGAGCAGGCGAGAGTGGACTGCAGCAACCCGTGGTGACATAGCTGGAGGGAGAGTGTAGCGCGGGGCCAGACTCGAGCCCTGGGGGCTGGCAGTTGCTCGTGGACCCAGTGAAAGTGGAGGGGGACGTTTGCATTCCTGCAACTTCCCCAAAACAGCGCCCGCGGCCTGGCAGAGAGGGCAGGCACCACTTTGGGTCACGGTGGCAGCTACGGCAGCCTCTGTGCAGGCACCTAACCAGCAGTGGCGGTGGCGGGCAGGCAGCAGTGTTTGGCCAGAGGCGCTTGTGCACTCATGTCATGCAGAGATTCTAGTGGAGGGAACGTCCACAGTCCCCACTGACTCAGCCTGGCTGGGAGGTGGCCGGGCAGCCATGTGGGACAGCAGGGCACCCACAGCCTCCCAGAGTCAAGACGTCTAGGCAGAGCTGTCTCAGGGAGTATCTGCCCCTCTGATGCCTGGACAAGCTGGCAGGGCAGAAAGAAACCTCTGGACCTGGCAGCTGAGGGAGCCCTGTGTGCTGAGACCTTGAGGACATAGTGGTCACATGAGAGCAGGTGCAGGGTGTAGCTGGGTATTGAGATCTACCACGCCCAGCTTGGGTATCACCCTGGAAATGTGCCCTACTCTGGAACACTGACCAGAGCACCCTGGCCACACCCACCCGCACCTCTCGGTAGTCACTGAAAGTGCAGACATTCCACAAAGCCACAGAGGCATAGCTCAAAGATGACAGCCACCAGGAGAAAACAAAACTAAAATCAACTCCACAAATGCCTAAAAACAAGCAGAAATTCAAGAAACAAGAATACAGATGACATCATGATAACCATCCCCCGAAAGGAACACAACATTTCAGTATTAGAATACGAAGATGAAGTGACTGACAAAATGCCAGAAACAAAATTCAAAAAATTAATCATAGAATTAGAATCAAATCCACAAACTAAAGAAAATCTTACATGACATGAATGAAAATTTTCCCACAAAACTGAGATATTAAAGAGAAATCAAAATGAGATATTAGAAATGAAAAATTCATTTGCTCAAATAAAAAATCAGTGGAAAGCCTCAACAGCAGACTGGGAAAGGCAGAACAAAGAATATCCTAATTAGAAGACAAATCTTGGAAATAAGAAGTCGGAACAACAACAAAAAGACAAAACAGGGGCTGGCGCTGTGGCATAGTGGGTAAAGCTGCTGCCTGCAGTGCCGGCATCCCATGTGGGTGCTGGTTTGAGTTCCCGGCTGCTCCACTTCTGATCTAGCTCTCTGTTGTGGTTTGGGAAAGCAGTGGAGGATGGCCCAATTGCTTGGGCCCCTGCACCCATGTGGGAGATCTGGAAGAAGCTCTTGGCTCCTGGCTTCAGATCGGCACGGCTCCAGCTGTTGTAGCCATTTGGGGAGTGAACCAGCAGATGGAAGACCTCTCTCTCTCTCTCTGCCTCTCCTCTCTCTGTGCAACTCTGACTTTCAAATAAAAAAAAAAAAAACAAGAAGAAATTAAAAAACTTAAAAGCAGTGTGGGAGATCTATGGGATACTATCAAATGACCCAAAATGCAGGTCTTAGAGGAGTTTCTGAAGGTGAAATAATTACAGAAAACCTCCCCAATTTGCAGAAAGAAAGGGACATCCAAGTACAGGAAGCACACAGAACTCTTAACAGACATGACCACGACATATGTAGTCACTTTCCACATAAAACAAAAGATTCTAAAACGTGTATGAGAGAAATGCCCAATCACTCGCAGAGGATCTCCACCAAGACGCACAGCTGACTTCTCATCAGAAACCCTGCAGCTAGAATGGTGAGAGTCAGAGTCGTAAACACTGTCAGCCCGGAATGCTGCATCCTGAAGGCTCTCACTGATGAATGAAGGTGAAACAAAGGCCTTTGATAACGAACAGAAGTTGAAAGAATTTGTCTCCACTTGCCCAGCCTTGCAAAGATGCTTAAGGATGTTCTACACACAGAAACACAGAAAGAGAGCCATCATTATAAAAGAATGAGATGGCAGATGTCGCTCCCCCTCTTCGTGGAGGAACGACACAGGACCCTGCGCTGTTCTTTCGTCTGCTCGGCCCTCCCCGGGTTTGCTGCTGGTTCTTCCCGGGTTGGCTACTATCCCTTCCACCTCCGTGGAAGGGCAGTTCCCCCTGGCCGCATTCCCCACTTCCGCAGGGGAGCGGCACACCGCCGGCCGGTTCTCTCGGGGGCTGCACGGGTTCCCTTAGATGTTCCCCATAGATGTTCCTGGTGCATGCCGTCTCTCTCCTCCTTTATAGTCCTCCTCCGCCAATCCTAACTCGGCTGCCCACACGCCGAGTACGCTGCTCTCCTCCAATCAGTAGCAAGTCCTACAGTTTATTGGTTGAACTGGAGGCAGCTGTGCGGAAGCTGTTTACTTCTCTCCCAGCGCCATATTGTGGGAGAGCAGATGCATAGAATAAGTCTTAATTCCAGTAACTCAGTCTAGTCCGGTTTGCTCCCCACAGCAGAAAACTCCCCAGAAGTACAAAGGAAAGCCAAAGCAAACAACAGGAATATTCATGGGAAAATGGCAGGGCCACGTCGCTACTTATCAATAGTTACCTTGTATGTAAGTGGACTCAACTCTGATTGAAAGACACAGACTGGCTGAATGGATTAAAAAGCAAGACCCATCTACTTGTTGCCTACAAGACACACATCTCACCCACAAACATACACAGACTGAAAGTAAAAGGACGGAAAAAGATAGTCCATGTTAACAGAAACCCAAAAAGAGCTGATGTTGCCATCCTAACATCAGACAAAATAGACTTTAACATAAAAACTGTTAAAACAAACAAAGAAGGGCACTATATAATGATTAAGGGACAAATTCAATAGGAAGATATGACTATAATAAATGTATGCACACCCAATGACAGGGTACCTAGCTATTTAAAAGAAATGTTGGCCAGCGCTGCGGCTCACTAGGCTAATCCTCCACCTTGCGGCGCTGGCACACTGGATTCTAGTCCCGGTCGGGGCGCCGGATTCTGTCCCGGTTGCCCCTCTTCCAGGCCAGCTCTCTGCTGTGGCCCGGGAGTGCAGTGGAGGATGGCCCAAGTGCTTGGGCCCTGCACCCCATGGGAGACCAGGATAAGTACCTGGCTCCTGCCATCGGATCAGCGCGGTGCGCCAGCCGCAGTGCGCCGGCCGTGGCGGCCATTGGAGGGTGAACCAAAGGCAAAAAGGAAGACCTTTCTGTCTCTCTTTCTCACTGTCCACTCTGCCTGCCTGTCAAAAAAAAAAAAAAAAAAAAAAAAAGAAAGAAAGAAATGTTAATGGACTTAAAGGGAGACACGGACTCCAGTCAATAGTAATGGGGGACTTCAATTCTCCATTTTCAGCAATGGGCAGATTAATCAGACAGAAAATCAGCACGGAAACAGTAGAGTTAATTGATACTACAGACCAAATGGACCTAACAGATATCTACAGAACTTTTCATCCTATCATTACAGAATACACATTCTTCTTACGAATGCATGGGACTTTGTCCAGGATAGACCATATGCTAGGCCATAAAGCAAGTCTCAGCAAATGCAAACAAACAAACAAACAAACAAAAACCAAAACCATACCATGCATCTTCTCTGACCACAATGGAATGAAGCTGGAAACCAACAACTCTGGAGTCTCTAGATCGCATGTAAACACATGGAGACAGAACAATACGCTCCTGAATGAACAGTGGGTCACAGAAGAAACCTGAAGAGAAATGAAAAAATTTCTGGAAACAAATGAAGATGACAATGCAGCGTATCACAACTTACGGGATATAGTAAAAGCAGTATTAAGAGGGACATTTATAGCAATAGGTGCCTACATGAAGAAACTGGAAA